GGCCCTTGCGCTTGCAAGGCAGGCACCGGATCCACTGAACCAAATCCCAAGCCCAGAAAGTAGTAATAAGTAATGGTAGTAATAAACTTGCTTTATACTTTAAAAACTAAGTTCCTAATTTTTTGTTATTGATTATTAGAAAATGTTTGTTTTATAATAATGGAATGCCTTATTTTAGAGGTTGCAAACTGTGGTCCATTGGCCAATTCATCTTGTTTTTGTACGGCATATCAGCTATATCTTTACAACATTTTTAAAGGTTGCTTTTCAGACAAACTGAAATATGTATGACTGCAAAGTTTAAAGTATTTTCTCTCTAGCCCTTTACAGAAAAAAAAGTAGTATTTGACCCCTGCTTAACTACACCTCTATATATGGCCAGAAAAAGTGAATAATAACAGTTTAAACTTTTTTTTTTTTTTTTGGAGTTACCAGAGACCAAACTCAGGACCTTGTGTTTGTGAAGCAGGTGCCGCACCACTGAGCTAAATCCCGAGCTCTAGTTTAAACTCTTACTCAGTAGATACTATCTATGTATGCTACAGTATTAACACAAAATAAGTAATTAGCCTAAGAAATAAACTCAGTTTTTACTTTAACAAAAAGTCCATTTTATAGTGCTATGGAACTCTTAACTACTGTGTAGAATATTTGTGGAAGTAATAGTATAGTTAAGACCTCAGTACACTTTTGATTCTTTAATAAGGTCTTAAATTATCAATATCTCTATAAGAATGTTTATAAGTATAGTGAATATATTGTCCTTCTGTTATATCCTGAGTAGTCAGTGGTTATCTTGAAGTTTTAAGCTCTTTGTTCCTTCTTATACTTAGCTTATTAAGTAGGTGTCCTTGTTAATTTGAACCACTGTAGACATTTCTAAAGATAATTTATCAATCAGTCAATCAGTCTATCTTTCTGTCTGTCTGTCTATCTATCCATCTATCTTTGAAAGAGAGTCTCACTAAATTGCCCATTCTGTGCTTAAATTTGGAATCCTGCCTCAACCTTCCAGAGTACTGGAATTTAAGGAGAGCACCACACCTGGCTTAAACGTTTGTTTAAAAAACTATACTTGTCTAAGAGTATAGGTACCATCGCAGTACACTGACTATTATAGTAATACACCGGAAGAACAGGAGTGTAGACAATTAAATGCAACATGTGTATTTCACCAATTTAAAAAAATACTCCTGTACTTCATACCTTTGAATTTCAAAGAATGCTGTAGTGTCTGTCTGCAGATTTTGATAATCTCCATTCCTTTAATGGATAACCTTTATGAAAAGAAAGACAAAAGGTTTTTGTAAAGAAGTCTATAGTAGTAATGAAGTATAAATACAATAGTATTGTCTCCAGCTCCATGGATAACCCATATTAATCGTTCCTTGTAGATTTTCAAAGTTCTGTATAGCTTGTGCTTTAGCCAATCTTGATCCAAGCATTGTGACCAAAAATATCTCTTGATGCTCCTTCATTGATTTATATTCAGGTTTTTTTTCTTCTCTTAAAATAAGCAAATGTGAATTCTGTTTGTTTCTTGGTTGTACACTGTTGCTATAATTATGTGAAGTCACTGTGTGTGATTTTATTGCATAATGTTTTAAAGGAGTATTTGCTAGGCATGGTGATACAATATTGTACATGCCTGTAATACCAGTACTTAGGAGGCTAAAACTGAAGGATCAAGAGTTCAAGGCTAGCTTGAGCTATGTAGAAAGTTCATAGCAAACGTGGACCATATAGCAAGACCTTATCTCAAAAAAGCAAACAAAATTTACCTTTTCTTAATTCTTTTTTAGTTCTTACTCATTTGATTACATAGCTTTTACTATTATAAATGTATCTAAATTGAATGTTGTGATTTTTTTAAGCAGCTGTTTAGCTCTCATGATCATTCTGAGTTCATAATATCCATTGAACGTTCTTGTATAAACCATTCTCTACAGATTTTTCTAGACATCTCTAAGCATGATAATGAGCAGTCACACTCAAATAAATAACTGAATAATAGATGACCTATAGTTACTTTAACCATCTCAAAACTCCTGGTAGTATTTTCATATAAGTAGTGATATCTAGAAGGTTACCTCTGCTTTGAAAAGCTTTTCGTTACATTTGCAAATTTTATTATTAAAGCAACAGCCAGTATCATATTAGAAAGAAAAGTATGCTGAGCAGATGAAAACCTTACAGTTTCCAATGCTGCTGAAGAAGCCCCTAATAATATGTGACAGCCTCTTTTTATACTCTGTCTGTCTGTCTATCTATCTATCTGTACCACGGAGCAAATTCAGGACCTTGCACTTGTGAGGGAGGCATGGTGCCATTGAGTTAAATCCCCAGCCCTGTACAATTACTTTTAAAGAGATTTGTATTTTACAAGTATTTTTTAATGTTTTAGTTATATAATCTTTATACTTGTACAAAAGTACATCAAAAACATACTTTGTAATAGACTGTGTAGTCTCTTGAACACAGGCAGTTTGACTTTAGTGCTATACTTCCAATTTCTAGTATTACTTCCTGGCACATAGTGGATTCTCAATAAATATTTGTTGAACAAAAATAATTGAAGGATGTTTGCAGTAGTATTTTTTTACTTCAAATATTTTTTAAAATTGGCTAGAGAATAATAAAAATCACAAAAGATTGGGCTGGGATGTAATTTAGTGGCAGAACATTTGCCTAGCATGCATGTTGCCCTGATTTCCTTCCCAGAACCCTGCCATACACAAATACACATAGATATACTCTTAAATGTTTATCAGTAAGGAGTTGATTAAATTATAGAATAACTATACATGGAATGCTAGTTTGCTGAAGAAAAGTTACAAGTTTTTCCATGTGTACTGATACTGACACAATGCTTTTTTTCCATGAAGAAAGCAAGTAGAATAATAATAGAGATAATAAGATGCTAATTTGCATTTAATATTTTGAATTACAAAACTACCTACCCATACATAGCAATTCCTAAGCATTTAGTTTTCTGAGAACTTCAAAAGGCTTTTTTGTTTTTAGGTGCTATGAATATATGTGTGTTTATATATTAATATCCTAAAAATTCTACTGTGGCAAATACACGTGTAAGTTATATACATTTATCATGTTAGAAATTAACAATTAAATTTTTTTCATTTAATTTAGAATAGTAAGGAACATACTACATCTTAACATAATTTTTTTTTCATTTTTAATTTTATTGATACAGTTTAGATTTACATAATGATCACATTTATCACAAGGAATTTGTACCTTTACATAATTTTTCTTTTTTTCCCTTATTCCTTTTCCTTATTCCTCTTTTCCCCCTTCCCCTCCCATCAACCCCTCTACACTTTCCTTATTTACAAAAGTCCCATTTGCATTTTATCCTTCTTTTCTCATTTTCCCCCTTCCTTTTGAACAGTTTTTTTCTTATTTCATGTTGTCTATTTTACATTTTGGTCCTTATTTACATTTTCAGTTTCTTACACCAGAGAGATAATGTGATATTTGCATATGTGTGTCTGATTTTTTTTCACTTAAGAGTATAGCTTCAAGGTGCTTCCATTTAGTTATAAATGTCTCAGATTCATCCTTCTTTATGGCTGAATAATACTTCATTGTATAGAAAAAAACCCACATCTTTATCCATTAAAGATGGGCGTTTGGGTTGTTTCCAAGATTTAGCTATTACAAACTGTCACTATAAACATGAATGCATATATATCGCTGAGGTATGATGTTTTTAATTCTTCAGGAAAGATACCTGGAAAATGAATAGCTGGGTCAAATGGGACTTCTAATACTAGTTTTTGAGGAATATCTACACTGATTTCCATAGTGGTTGCACCTGTCTGCTTAACATAATTTTATTTTATTTCTTTTTTTGTTACTGGGGATTGAACTCCTCCGGCCCTTGCTTTTGTGAGGGAATCAGTGACCACTGAGCCAAATCCCCAACCCTTAGCATAATTTTATTAAAATAATTCTGTTTTCAAAACTACAATTTATTAAAGAGTGTAGCATTGTTTTCTGTTTTTCAAATATCAATATCTGGCATAATAAAGTGTAACTTGATTCTTCTCTGCTTCTGCATTTACTGTATTGTGATGTTTTGGTTGAAAATCCACCCTCATATCAATACATAGTCAAAACAGGCACAATATTTCAATTACCTTTTCAGATAATTATAGATAGTTTTCTTTGAAAGTGCATCAAATCTCTACATATAGTTTCTTAAAGGTAGTTACAATTCGGAATCTGAAATATACCAGTGAACGTCTTGTACTGTCTCATAAAGTTCTTTGGTTTGTTTTGGTCTTTGAATAGATCTTTTACCCATGCATAATTGTTTAACTTCAAGCATTGCTTATTTAAAAAAAAAAATATATATATATATGTATATATATACTTTGCTGACTTACTGGAACCTTATATGAACCTTCCATATATTTGATATGCTATATCAAAAAGCCGTATTACTTAAAATCACACCAGTCTCATTGAAAAAGTCTTGAAGTATTGTAAACCTATTAGGGTTACAGTGATGAATGTAAGTTTTTCCTAAATTTTAATTTTTCCCATTGGAAGCTGAATTATCATCCTACTTAGAAGTTTGAATTTATCGTTTAATTTCTGAGTTGAGTTTAATTCATTCACTTGTTGAGAAAATGAGATATCTAAGCCGAAATAGTTTCCTATCTAATCATCTGAAAATAGTGTTACTTGAAAAATTCATTAATTCCCTCTTATTGCAGTGACACTTAATAAGCCAACTATAAAAGTTGTGAAATCCATAAATGTAAAAGCAAAAAAACAGAAAGAGCAAAATATTAAGTGATTATGGTGGTTAAAAAACATGGTTAATTTTTTTCCTATAATGAATAAATATATTTTATTACATAGTTAAAATTAAAATGCCATAGAGTATTTTATTTATAGGATAACTTACACAGAGTCAAATGACTGTGGACTTTTAAAAAAATAGTTAATTTTCTCTACTTTCTTGTTAGGATTTAGGTCCCGAATATGAAGATGTATTTAACACCTCATTGCAATGGATTTTAGAAAATGGGAAAGATGTTGGAATAAGGTAAAAGATCTGATTTGGACTATGATTGTTTTATATTGTAAAACATGATTCTTGACTTTAAATTCTACCTCACTTATTTTTAAATAGGTGTGTTGGTTATGGCCCTCAGGAAGAATTGAGAAATATAACTGATGTGCAGTTTTTACAATCCACAAGACCACAGATGTCATTCTGGTGTCGTTTTCGACGTGCTTTTATTACTGTAACCCACAGATTATTGTTGTTATGTTTAGGTAAGTTGTTAGGATGAGAAAGGTGCTACATTTCAGTCTAGAAGTTTTGTGTGTCTGTATTTTACTAAATGCCAGAGCTGAGAATCTACTTTTCACTTCTCTGGTGGATATCATATAAAGCACATCCAGAAATCTTCACTAAATAAAGTTGAGGGGTTGTTATAATGTCAATATTAGATTAAGGGCTTAGAAACAGTAATAGAAGGAGAAGAGGTATAAATAAAACTTTGTTATAAGAATGTCATAGAAAGAGCAAGTATATTTATAAGAATGTCATAGAAAGGTTTGGTGGCACATGCCTAAAATCCCAGCACTTGAGAGGCTGAGGGCAGGAAGATTGCTATGAGTTCAAGGCCAGTCTGGCCTACCTTGTGAGTTCAAGGCCAGCCTAAAGGACATAGAAAAAAAAAAAAAAAAGAATTCTACCTTGGAAAATAGGAAAATTAAGCTTATTTGGAAATAAAATTGTTTAAATTAAGCTCATTAAAATTACTTTTGCATAATAGTATTTGTAAGAATGAAAATTTCTATCCAAGTTATTAGATTTTTGATGATTTCTTAGGAGATGTTTATTCTTTATTTTTCCTTTTTTTCTTGTGTAATCCTTTAAAATTAATTTATATAGAAGTAAGATTTTATTTTAGTACCTTTAGTTAATAAAATTCACTTTTCTAGTAGTTTAATGCTAGTTTAATACAGGAGAAAAATCTGCAATAGTATAAACATGTAGCAGATTTTAAACATTCATTTGGCTCATATAGAAGAAATACTTTTCTAGACAGAAGGAAAAGTCTGAAAAATATGTAATATTAAATTTTTCTATGTAGTTTAGTTAATTCAACCCTTTGTTCTATTCCATTATTCCTTTAGGGCAATTAAGACAGTCATTATAGAAACTGTTTGCAATGTTAATGAACATCATTGACCCCCATTTTTTTAAAAATATGAAATATATAAATATTACAGGTGTAGTGATGGTTTGTGTCGTTCTCCGTTACATGAAATATCGTTGGACAAAAGAAGAGGAGGAAACAAGGCAGATGTACGATATGGTAGTAAAGATTATAGGTATGGTATTTGTAAAACATCTGTACTGTTTTTAGAACAGTCATTGTATGGTAAATGTCAACATGATATGAAGCGAGTGATTAATTAGTAGTCATTTGATTTATTTTCAGATGTTTTACGAAGTCATAATGAAGCTTGCCAGGAAAATAAAGATTTGCAACCTTACATGCCTATTCCACATGTGCGAGACTCCTTAATACAGCCTCATGACAGGTGTGTTCAAACATTGTGAATTGCAGTAAATCAGAATGTAGTCTTCTATAGTGTTGAAAATTATATTGAAAGTGATGACACTTCTTAGCTAGAGCAGTTTTACTGTATAGACTTTTAAAATACTTGACATTTTCATTTCTTTCTGAATTTTCTTCAGTTTTCCTCCTGATTTTGAATGGCATATTAGACAACTGCGTTTCTAAATCACTCTTGTTCCTATAGTTCTTGATTTTTTTTTTTTTGTTGTCAGTCTCCTTTTTTGTGGGGTGGTACCGGGTCATTGCACTTGCAAGGGAAGCAGCAGAATCACTGAGCTAAATCTCTGGCCCATCCGTCTTATTTCCTTTAATTTCATCTTGCTAAACACAATGGCCAATGCTGTTTCACTAAGAGGTTTAAACACTATGTTGTTAGTGAGACTTTTAAAATAAAAACTATAAAATAACTTTATGAAATTGAATGATGCCATATCCTGAAACATAATTCTTACTTTAGCAGCACATCATGGTCACCAGTGGAGATTGTAGATTTAAAAAAAAAAAAAAAAAAGCAACATGCTCATGCTTATACTTTGTCTCTGGAAATTGAAATTTAATAAATCGTGAGCTAAGGTACAGGTATCTAAACCTTTTAAACAACTCTGGGAATCGTAATAAAAACAGCCAGAATTAGCATTAACCATTACTTCATGAGCTGTCATTTAAAAAAATAAAGATAACCCAAAATAATAGTGAATTTGTCGTTTTGGTTGCATAATAGGAAAAAAATGAAGAAAGTCTGGGATAGAGCTGTTGACTTCCTTGCCGCCAACGAGTCTAGAGTTCGCACGGAAACAAGAAGAATAGGTGGTGCAGATTTTCTAGTTTGGAGGTGGATCCAGCCCTCTGCATCCTGTGATAAAATATTAGTAATACCTTCTAAAGTATGGCAAGGTCAAGGTATGTATTTTTAAGTCCTGCCCCAAGTGATTTTCTTCAAATTTTTCAGAATAACAATCTATGTTTGAGTGAAACAGTGCATTGAAAGGTGTGTGAAGGCAAAACTTCCTTTACAATTCTGCCCTGTAGAAGGAATCAGGGTTAGCTTCTTTTGTATTGTTTTGCTTTTTCCTTGCTAATGCAGACATAAGTGGTTTGTCTTTACTATAATAAAGATAAACATTCCTTTTATCTTGTCCTTTTCATTTAACAGAGCAACTTAGCCTATAGATCAAACTGTATTCTTTTCATATAATTTCCCCATGAAAATAAGATAATAGTTTGTATATATAACATTTACACATATATGACATGCATATATGGAATCATAACTTTTAAACCTCTAGATTTGGCTTGATTGCGTCTTCTTTCTCACTGAGATCTCTCCTCTTGCATGACTTCCTGCCAAGTATCTTTTGTGGGTTTCTTTCCATAGTTTTCTTAATGTCTGCATAGTTTCAAAAACAGATATTTATAGTTGGGAATTTTGAAGGTTGGCTGCCTTATGTACTCAAACCACTACTACACAGGTAAACAGAAACAGTATATAAGAAAATTATGAATGGTAAATTCTTTTCTACAGAAGCATGTTTATCAGTGTTTGCTAAACATAGTAGTCATAGTAAAGGTAAATAAATTGTTTTGAAATTGCAATTAAAAAAAATCCACTCCCTATTTTCCCCATTAATTTCACTTTTAAAAAGCTTGCATAGCAAACTCCTATAATCATGGAATTAAAATGATGCTTTGGTGTTGCTCAGAACTATAGTAACAACAAACTTATTTCCTTAAAAATACGCTTGCGAAGAGGCCCATGAGATTGAAAACACATAATTCCTTATTACTTGACCACTCACCAGTGTTTGACAATTGATCTCTTTTTGAAACTTTTATCTTTGGACTTTCGGGGTACATTTTTCTCTTACCTTTGATCTTTTTTCAATGTTTTCTTTTAGATTTTCCTCTTTGATCTCTAGATCTTAGAGTTTCATAAGGTCATCTCATCCTACGTTCTCTTTTAAGACTTTTCAAAGCATGACTTAATTTACTGTATGTTAGCTCCCAACTTTATCCTTTTCATTAAGTCTTTTGTTACTGGTTTTCAGATTTTTTTACCCAGTTGTATACTCAGCTTTTTTTCTAGAGTAGTTGCACCACAAATTCAACACATACTGAAACTCAATATTTTTTCTCAAAGTGAGCTCTGCAATATTCCTCATCTAGTTAATAGTATCATTCTTTAGTTGTTCCTGCCATAAACCTGAGTCATCTTTACTTTCACCCTTATTTGTCTTTGTCCAATCTTTCAGTAGGTCATGTCAGATCTACTCCCTATAAGGCCTAATTCTATCCATTTTCCATTTGTACTGTTGCCATGGCTTATCCACATCACTATCGTCTCCCTCTTAGGGAACTATAATAACCTTACAGCTGATCTTCCATTCACTTTTGCATCTCTACTTGATTCTCTACTTAACAACGTATTTTTCAAAATAACAAATTTAAAAGTCAGGTCTTATCATATTATTCCTCTACTTAAAAAGCTTGAGTGTATTTAATTTACAACAATATGAAATGTTTTAATGTGGCTTATGGGGTCCCGGATAATCTCTCAGGTTTACCATTTTTTTTATTCTTCCCATTTTAGCCACATTGGTTGACTTTTAATTACTTGAATATACCAAGGTCCTTGTCATAGGGGCTGTATACAAGCTATCATCTCTGCCTGAAATGTCCTTCACAATTTTTCATACTAATTTTTAGTTATTTTTTAGTTCTCAGCATAAATTTTTCTTGGGGAAATATTATATGATACTATTAGACCAGGTGAACTTACTTTTACAGCTTTTTGTACTGTTATTTCTTAGGATTTTACACAGTTGTGTTGCCTTGGCTGGTATTGCTTATTGCTTGTTTGTCCAACTAAACTGTAATCTGTATCACAGAAAAGACCTAATTAATCTTAACATTTAACATAGGAGTCTGGTTCATAATAAAAGTATGCAGTGATGCTAGGTATGGTAGCACATGCTTGTAATTCTGGTACTCTCAGAGGTGAGGTAGGAGGATCAAATGTTCAAGCTCAGCCTGGGCAACTTAGTGAATCCTTGTCTCAAATATTTTTTTAAAATAGAGGTTGGGTCTTGGGATATAGCTCAGTGCAGAAACCCTGGGTTCATTCCCTAATCCCCAAAAAGAAAGTATGCAATAAACACATTTTGAATGAACTAAATGACTGAATATCTTTCATCAAAATGGAACAGTGGCAAATAGTAAAACTAATTTGTCTTTTGTAGCATTTCATTTAGATAGAAGAAATTCACCACCAAATAGTTTGACACCATGTTTAAAGATTCGAAATATGTTTGATCCAGTTATGTAAGTATTATAATCAGGTATATATATATAATTTTTATTTGGATTACTGGGCTGAAAATGCATGGTATTTTTATGATGTTATGGCTGCAATTGTAAATCTGTATTGTTTTGACAAGAGACACAGATGTACAAAGATTTATAAAACTTTTGTTAATCTTTATATTCACTGAATCCTCATAACAGATAAATGCTTGAGGCTAATTAATGATACACCGTAACAAACAATACACTTTATTTAATGTATAATTAATTTTAAATGTGAGTCAGCATTTTTGTCTCAGTATGCAATAGAAGCAAAAATATGTGCCTAAAACTAAAAATTCTATTTGACCCAGCATTTCCCCTTCTAGGTATCTTAGCTATCATATTACGGTGATACATGGATACCCATGTTTATAGCAGCACCATTCCTAATAGCCAAATCTTGGAAGCAGCCTGTATATACATCAACAGATAAATGGATAAAGAAAATGTGCTATTTACAAATGAAGGAGTACTGGTCTGCCATAAAGAAAGATACACTTAAGTCATTTGTAGGTAAATGGATGTACCTTGTTAAGTGAAATCTGATGCACAAGCTTAGGGCCAGGGATTAGGGCTGGGGATTTGGCTCAGTGGTTCCGGCACCTGTCTCACAAGCACAAGGACCTAAGTTTGATCCCCAGTACCTAAAACAAACAAAAAATAAACAGATGCACAAGCTTAAATATCATACCTGTCATATCTAAATTATAAATAAAGAGCAAGATAAAAGGTAGATAATAGGAAATATATCAATCTTTCTCAAATGGGAAGGGTGTCTAGAGATGAGACAGTGTGCGAAGAGAGGGAAAGGGTATGAAAAAAGGGATTAGGACGTGTAATGTATATGTACCAACTCCACACAAAGAGTATAAACATATGCTGATAAAAAAATAAATATGTATATACAACCAGCCATAGCCCCTTGAACAAATTTCCAGTTTCTAATTGTAAAAAGATTTTCTAGAAAAAGACCTTGCTCTTTATAGGCCCTGATTTTACTAGTTTATGTAACGTGAAAAATATTTCTGCCTTTTAGAATTATTGCAAAAGCACAGCTAGAGAATGCTACAGTCAAAAGCTATGGCCTTAGAAATCCATATTTCACATTAGACTGTAAAATAGTTTTAGAATTAACTTAGTTGTCCACTGATGTGACAAATGAAGCCCTTAAAATCCTGACAGAAATTCCATTGCATATAAAATAGCCTTAGATCTCATCTAATAATTTATTTCAGAAATTACTCTGTGATAATAAATAACTGATGAAGAATAGGAAATGTGGGGAAGAATAATCAATCCGTATATACCTTGTGTTGCAGAGATAATACAATTAGCAGTGTCATGATAGCTCCATAGAGAATGACCTCATTTCCTTGGTAATTAGGAGAAAGTGCCACTGTAGTATTTTATTACCTAACATGAAAATTTAGGGTTTAAAGTCAGGTTGCTTTTCCTTGTCCCATACTATGTTTCACAAGTAAGAAAAATGTGTATTACAGCAGCATAAGTTCATTGTAAGGTCAATGTGCAAAATGTTTGTTCTATGTCACCTGCTCCCATTATTTTGGAAAAGCAAAGCTCAGAATATAGTATTTATTACAGCGTTCAAGGGTAAGTTTGGAAATGTCATTAAAAAGAAAATAATACTCAACTTTGAAACTGTAACAAGTTAATACTAGTATAGAAAGAAAAAAAGCAACTCACAAGTCCATAGGATTTTAAACATAATGATAACTCAATCCTTTTGTTAAGCTGTGATATAAGACAGTGAAGACTTTTAAGTGCGTAGACATATAATTCTATTTTTTTTAATTAATTTTTAGGGAAATAGGGGATCAGTGGCATTTGGCAATTCAAGAAGCAATTTTAGAAAAATGCAATGATAATGATGGCATCGTACACATTGCAGTAGACAAAAATTCACGTGAGGTAAAGTAATTTCTAGTATTGAATTCCATGTTTTGGATTTATTGCTATTAAATTAAGTCTATTCCTTTCTCTTTTTTTGTATTACAGGGTTGTGTATATGTTAAATGTCTGTCTCCAGAATATGCTGGAAAGGCTTTTAAGGCATTACATGGCTCTTGGTTTGATGGTAAGCTCTTTGAGTATTACAAACATCTTGAAAAGATAATTATGGTTTAGTGTTAAACTATAGATATTAAATTGAAGAATTTGAGGTTAGCATTTTTTCAAATAATAATTTTAGATGATATTGTTTTGTGCTTATATATACTTCTGTTAATTTTCTAAAAATTGATTAAAAATGTTTTTACAGATTTAAAATATTTTTATCTTACAACAGGGAAATTGGTTACAGTAAAATATTTACGACTAGATAGATATCACCATCGCTTTCCCCAAGCTCTTACTTGCAACACTCCTTTGAAGCCATCAAATAAACATATGAACTCCATGTCTCATCTTCGGCTTCGGACTGGCCTAGCCAATTCTCATGGAAGTTCCTGAAAAGACATTCTTCACTCCTAGAACAATAGGAAAAGTCCTGTTTGGCTTTCTGTCTTCCTTTCCAAATGCTTTTTTTATGTCATATTTTTATTGCTGAATACAGCTCTGTTTAAAAGTTTCAGAAATCTTAAGGTTCCAAAGGGATTTAACAGTAAGCCAGCAATACTAAGTAGGTAGAATAATTGTTTCATTCAGTTTTTGAAGCTCCGTTAAGCTAATGCATTTAAAGTTTTGCATGAGGATCATTGACTTTATACACATTTTCAGATGTAGTTGTTATATTTTGCACCAAGAAGTGCTTGGATAACCACACAAAAGCATGGTGAAGAGACTTGTATTTCCATAATTTCTTGTGAGCTAATGTGAATTTTTATATACAGTCACCTGCATAGTTCCTTACAGGCTAATGTGGTTAACTGTTACTTGCCAACCTAACCTTAGGTTTCTATTGCTTGTAAGAGATTCATTTGCTGCAGCTGGAATATGGACAAATTTATTTGGTTTTAATGGTTACATATATGTGTAAGTGGATGTACATGTACTTAAACTTGCTTTTGTAAATATGTATAAATGCTGGTTGTGGTGAAAGTAGTCTGGTTTTGTCAGGATTTCTGCATAAGCAGTAAATAAGCTTTCTATTTTATTCATAATCTTAATTTGTGTGTATATATATATATATGTATATGTGTATACATAATACACATACATGCCTGTATATATACACATACACAATGTGTATATGTATGTGTGTATGTGTATATGTGTGTATATGGCTGTACTATTACATGGATCAAACAGCTGAACACCTGGAAGTATTAGATAAAAGCTTAAAATATCTTTTATAGATTTTTATATTAAAACATCTGAGTATGATTTTGTGTGAACATTCTGACACGAATTGTAGTAGATTCAAATATATGTGAGCAATAAAGAAACAATTGGCAGATATTGGAAAATATTTTGTGAAAAGCTGTATTTATTAATACTAGAACTGTGACATAGTGCTGTTGGGATTAAGTCATTTTCCCAGTCTATTTATAATTTAATGACATACTAGCACCCCTGTTACATGTCAAGTTTAAAGCAGGGCACGTTGTTGCAGCAAAATGTATCAGACAAATTGTACTTCTAATTTAGGGTCATGAAAGTTTGCAATATAGTAAATGTACGAATGACCATTGGTTTGTGCCTCAGTATTTAATTTGTTTCAATAAAGTTACTTTATTACTGTGTATTATTTCAGATTAAAATAGTTGCTGAGCAAGGTTTACTTGTTATCTTAACAACTGGTTTAAAAAAAATAACCAGTTAATATATTGTCAGTTCAAATGAATATGTGAAACAGCTGGAATTGAACCAATTTTGATTTTTTTTTAAAGCTCAGCTTCCTTTTTGTTTTATTGTTAATGTTGGGTTTGCAGCATGAACTTGCACAGATTATGCACGTTTTCTGGTTAAGTAAACATGATGCACACTATTCTCTAACAGAAAACCTTATTGTGCCTTATCTATGTGCTTTTGTGGGCACCATGTTTATGAAGAATAAAAAATGATTTGTTATCTGAAGAGAATAAATTTTAAATTCTCAGTTTATGTCTCATGCTAATGTGTGAAATTATAAATATATATAATATATAAAGTAACCAGTCTGTATTTTATGTGCATCATAGTGATTTATCTCAGCTTAGTGATCCCCACCTTGAAACCTGTTGCAAGAGTGAATGTAAAAAATAGTTGTGATATTTTAACAGGTCACCTTTTGATGCAGATGCATCCTTTCTTGCTTCTGAAACATATTTCATGTAAACATTGTACATTTATTATTGTAATATATACTATTATGCAGCATATTTTATCTGAAATTGTTAAGCCGACCAAGATTCTTCCCTGCAAGACTGATGGGAATGTGTATAATAATAATTAGATATTTGAGAAGTTTTGAAGTTTGATGTAATCTGTTACTTGTCCTGTTTAAAAAAGGAAAACATTCTAATTAAAAATTTATTAGGTTTTTTTTTTAATGTGTCTTTGCCTCTCATATTTTTTTGGTACTGGGGATCAAACCTGGACCTTGCAAGGCAGGCAGCGGAACCACTGAGCTAAATCCCTGACCCTACTCATAACTGTTTTGTTTGTTTGCTTGCTTGCCCACCTTTCCCCCTCCCCCTCCGTCCCTCTCCTCTACCTCTTCCTCCTCTACCTCCTCCTCCACCTCCCTCCCTCCCTTTCTCTCTCTCTCTCTCTCTCTCTCTCTCTCTCTCTCTGTCTCTCTTTCTTTCTGTGAAAATAGATACCTTTATTTAAAATCAACTTTATTTGGAGATTTATGAATACATGTTTGTGATTAAAAAGATGAAGACCTAAAGTTAGATTTAAACCTTTCATTCTTTAATATCTTGGGTTTCTTTATGAGTATGTTTTCATTCAGCTTTCAGTTGTTTGGATCAAAATGGGGCAAGAATATAAATCAGTTACAGCTCCATTACTAAGCACTGTTTTTTAATTCAACTAAACTCTTTCACAGACGTTCTTGAAAAAAGCAATTATTTTACACATTCTGGCTCAAACTCTTTATCTCATCATAAGCCAATAACAGTTTTTGGGTTAGCTACTTTGAAAAGCATTAGTTTAGATTTTTGGGGGAGGGGGTACCAGGGATCGAACTCCGGTCCTTGTGCTTGCAAGGCAGGCAGCAGAATCATTGAGCTAAATCCCCAGTCCTAGTTTAGATTTTTGTTGTTTTAATCAAGTAAGAAGAAGACTTGATTCATAGTCATTTGCCGACGTAGTTGCTAACAAATATTGGTAATATGTTAGGGACACAAAGATGAAAAATATGTAGCCCAGAATATAAGGCAAGAAAATAGAAGGAATTCTGGGAGTATAGAGGAGATATGTTAATAGACAAAATAGAAGAACAGGTAAGCTAACAACTAAACCATATTTTCATTCATTTTTAATCTATTAATCACCTCTTAGTATAGGTACAGTAATAAAAGTCTCTTTTCCTTTGAGTTCTCTTAGAGCTTCAGTTCTTATTAACAGGTTGCTAAAAGGTAATGTATGAATACTATGCTATGTCATAAAATCTACTCTTGATAATATGTGGATTTCTGAATAGCTTGTGAATATTGAAATCTGTTATTACAGTCTTGTATTTTTCTTGCATTGTACTCAGTTTGGATGTTGAGTTATGATTTATTTTTTGTTGTTTTCTTGGTACTGGGGATTGAACTCAGAACCTTGAGCTTGCAAGGTAGATGGGGCATCAATGAACTAAATCCCTGGCCCAGACAAGTTATGATCTCTTAAGTGAACAGTGTGTGATTTGCTCAGAACATCCCCTTTAATTTAAAGATCAACCTTGCAGTTCTCATTTTCTTCTCTCTTAGTGATAGCAAATTATTGTAGATTAACTGTATGGCTTCTTCACCCCTTTTTCTAGACCTATCTGAGCTAGTCATTTCTTTCAGATGGCTCATCAGACCATGGTAATTCAAGTAGAATTTTGGCTGTCTTTTGGGAAGAATGTTCAAGAACAGGTACTTAACGACAATAAGTTGACAGAAGTTGCTTAAAGGAACTGAATGTCCAGGATGCTGATTCTTTTGGTCTTTAAGCCCCATTGAAGAAACTTTATGACTAAAAAAAATTTCTATGCCTGAGTACCTCTACTAGGGCCAGTAGAACTGACTTGCTCTGCTGGTTCTTAGATTTTCAAACCATATGAATATATACTTAGATTTTCTTCCCTGAATAGACATTAGAGATCTGCTTACAGTACTGAAATTGGAAAGAGGCCAATCTAGAGCACATGAACAAAATGCTCATTAGAAACAACCCACTGCATATATAAACAGCATTTTCTTGTGGCTGAATCACCAAATTCAAAGCAGTAACTAGAAATGGAGAGGAAAGATAGGCAGTGGTTATAGCATGAAATCTTGTTAGTTTACATTATGAAGTGTGGATGTTGGTTCACATTAAAGAGAATTTAGGTAAGAAACTAATGCTGAGGATTTGTTGGGGTGAAGAAAAGAGAATTGATTTGAAGAATAAGATAAAGTAAGACAGACTTACTGATTAATTGAATATTAAGGCAGAATTTTCTAGTGTAGGCAATGTAATTCCCAGCATTTGGATAGTAGATATGAAACATATGGAATAAAAAAAATGATAAACTGCATCTTAAGATATTTTGAGTTTGGGATGCCTACAGAACTTTAAATTTACAAGTTTGTTGATCTACCCCATCTTCCATTTTCCTACAAACCAGGAAATGTTCTCATCAATAGAAATTATAGATAATGGCTCCAAAGTATGTAAGTTAACAGTTCTATTTTTTTAGTTTCTCAGACATAAGTCTCTTTTGCCCTTCTCCTGACAAAGGCCTATAATAGAAAACTGAATTAGAAATATTTTATCTGTATTTAGATTTCATAAAATCTATAGTTGAAACAGTTTCCAGCATACTTTAAGTAATTTTTAAATTAATTCAATTCAATAAAATTAAGCCTTTGGTTCAGAAATACTATTGAAGGTTTGATTACTCAGTACCCTCCAACTTTGCATACATAAATAACCTCTTTTATCCTGGTGTCAGTTCACATCTCTTCAGATAGCACTTTTCTAACCTCTCTTTTACTTTGCCTATTTTAAAAAATGTACTTTATTTACTTTTTGAAAGTATCTTGGCTGTGTTTATTACTTATATGCTTTGCTACATTATACATAAATCCCATAAAAGTAAAACTTCTTATTTGTGTTTTTTATTGGTTAATTGATACTTGGGGTCCAAAGTAGTGCTTGGCTTAAATTATGTGCTCAGTGTATATTTATTAAATCAACCCATAAAGCACAATTTGGTTGTAATTATTGTTTTGGTTACATGTGGAGAAGGTTGTACTAGGGATTAAACTCAGGGCTGTCACACTGAACTACATTCCCAACACTTTTTTTTTTAATTTTAATTTTCCCCCCATTAAGTTTATGGGTACACTTAAAGCAAACAATACAGTTACATTTATCATTGGGCTCTTGTTCCTTTACATGATATGTCTTAGTTATTTTTTCTCCCTGCTTTCCCATCACCCCTTTCACCCTTCCCTATTTACAAAGACTTTGTTTCCATTTTTTTCCTTTTTCACATTTTTTCTTTTCTGTTTCCTTTCCCCTCCCCTTCCTACTTCCCCTTTAGCCATTTTCTTCCTGTTTCACACTATCAATTATACCATTTGAACCTTATTTACACTTTTAGTTTTTCATACCAAAGAAGTTATGTGGTATTTTCTCAAGTGTGTCTTATTTATTTCACTTGAGTATAGCCTCAATGTGCATTCATTTACCTATAAATGTCTCTAGTTTCTCATTCTTTATGGCTGAGTAGTACTCCATTTTATTAAAAAAAAACACATCTTCTTTGTCCAGTCTCCAGTTGATGGACATTTGGGCTGTTTACAAGTTTTAGCTATTACGAACTGTGCCACTATAAAGATAGGTGCGCATATATCACTGTGGTGTGATTCTTTTAATTCTTTTGGAGATAGTAGCTCCCTGAGTTGCCCAGGCTGGGCTCAGGCTGAGCTCAAGCTTGTTTTTCTCCTGCTTCAACCTCTTGGAATGCTGGAATTACAGGCATGTATCACCATGGCTGGCTAATCGCACATTTTAAGAAAGTTATTTGGGTTCTTAAATTT